GGTTCTCTCTCCAGGACGGAGCCTTCCAGAGGATGCCTGGGCCGGGTGTGGGCTGAGAGCAGCGAGAGGGGCAGGGCGTGTGCGGGCGAAGAGTCGGCCGGCGGGCACTGGGGAGACCAGTGAGCCTCTAGGGCCCCGGGCGGCCCGCCAGCCAGCCCCTGGGGAAGCTGAGGGCAGTCTGGCCAGTCCAGCAGGGCTCCTTCCCCATGGCTGGCCTGTTTCTCCCCAGGTGCAGGAGTGCCTGCAGCAGTTCAAGGTGACAGGGGCGCAGCTGCAGCAGATCCAAGCCAGCCTCCTGGCTTCCATGGAGCAAGCACTGAGGGGACAGGCTAGCCCTGCCCCTGCTGTCCGGATGCTGCCCACATATGTGGGGTCCATCCCGCATGGCACTGGTGAGTAACGCAAAATAAGCTGGTGGCCAGGCCTGGAAGAGGGTACTGATCTGGGGGAGGGGAAAGTTCCTTATCCCTGCTCCCCATCTCTAAGGTCCCTTGACGAGACTTTGCAGGACTTGGGGATTTTTCCAGGAGGCAGAGGGCTCTGGTCTTGCGAGCTGCGTGCATTTCTGTGATCTGCTTGCCCTCTAGAGCAAGGAGACTTCCTGGTGCTGGAGCTGGGGGCCAAAGGGGCCTCACTGCGTGTTTTATGGGTGACTCTAATGGGCATCGAGGGGCCTAGGGTGGAGTCCAGGAGCCAGGAGTTTGTGATCCCCCAAGAGGTGATGCTGGGCGCTGGCCAGCAGGTGAGTGCTCAGTGCCTAGTCTTTTGGGGTCCACGGCCCAGGCTGGGTAGCTGGGGTCAGGTGGGCAAAGCTGAGCCCCCAACCTGTCCCGCAGCTCTTTGACTTTGCTGCCCACTGCCTGTCTGAGTTCCTGGACGCGCACCCTGTGAGCAGGCAGGGTCTGCAGCTTGGGTTCAGCTTCTCCTTCCCTTGCCACCAGACGGGCCTGGACAGGGTGAGGTGGAGCAGTCACGGGGCAGTGGGTGGAGACGGGGTGCAGCCCCACGAAGGTCGTCGGAGGAGTAACTCGACTTCTCTGCCTCCAGAGCACCCTCATTTCCTGGACCAAAGGTTTTAAGTGCAGTGGTGTGGAAGGCCAGGACGTGGTCCAGTTGCTCAGAGACGCCATTCAGAGGCAGGGGGTGAGTGGAGGGGGGTGACGGGAGGGCTGCCCATGCTGGTCCGGGCCTGGCATGCGGGGGCTGTGCCTGTGCTTCTGGGAGCGCCTGCTTTCCTTTCCTTTTCATGTCCTTTATCCAATCTAGCCCTGGGCTACCTGTCACTACCGCTCCCATTTTATAGGTAAAACTCACTGAGGCTAAGACAGATCAAATAAACGTTCAGGACCTGGGGAAACAAACATGAAAAGAGTTTGACCCTGTCCTAAAGGTTTCACAGTCTAGAGGAGAAAACATTCTAATAAAAGATCGTCCCCGCTGAGGTGTGTTTGGACATCCCTGGGAGCACCGGGGAGGAAGCGCCTGCTGCTGGAGCAGCGACCTGAAGAAGTGTGCTCGACGCTTTAGCTGGGGCAGGGCAGGAAGGTCTAGTCGCAGAGAACGGCACATGCGAAAGTCTAGATGCCGGAGAGAGGTGATCCGTCTGGACTAACCCCCGTGGTGCTGTGTGCAGTGGCTGGAAGTCAGGGCGGGGAGGAATGGGCTGGCCGGGACCGGGGGAGGCAAGCAGGGTGCAGGCTTCCAGGAGGATTCGGTGTCGGGCCCTCGCCCTGGTCCTGCGGGGTCCGTGGAGGTGATGGCTGAGGGTGGGAACTACTGTGACCCTGAGGGCCTGAGCTGGGAGAGGGAGGAAAACGCCCTTCAGGGTGGGGGCCCCGACGTATGTGGCACGGATGTGTGGGGCACGCAGACACGTGTGTTTCATGGACTCTGGGCATCTTCATCCAAGCCTGGGCTCCAGTCTGCCTATCCTCCAGGTTCCCTGCCGGCCACTCAGGCTGGCCCTGACCTCTGCCCTCTCCACCGTCCAGGCCCACAGCATTGACGTGGTTGCCGTGGTGAACGACACGGTGGGCACCATGATGGGCTGCGAGCCAGGGCTCAGGCCGTGTGAGGTTGGGCTTGTGGTAGGTAAGTAGGGCCCAGGCCCTTTGCGACGGCAGGCGGGGCGTGGCTGCCTGGTGGGCAGGCCCTGACAGGTCGTCCCTGCCAGACACTGGCACCAACGCGTGTTACATGGAGGAGGCGCGGCACGTGGCAGCGCTGGACAACGACCGTGGCCGCATGTGCGTCAGCGTCGAGTGGGGCTCCTTTGGCGACGATGGGGCCCTGGGGCCGGTGCTGACCACCTTCGACCACGCCCTGGACCATGAGTCCCTGAATCCCGGTGCTCAGAGGTGGCTTGGTGGGGGCCCTGATTTCCTATTCCAGGCCCTGTCACTGCGCAGCTCCCTACCCCTTCTGCTGCCCCTGTCCTCAGGCCCTCGGGCCCCTCCCTCGCATTCTCAGGGTCTTCGGGTTGCTCCCTGGGGGCCCAGTTCAAAGAAGGAAGGGCTCAAGGTTCTAGAACCCAGAGTTTTCAACCCGTAGCCTTCCCTTATTCCTGACTCTGGCCAGCCCAAATAGGGGTTGGGGGCTGGGGATAGCTGAGCAAGGTGTTCCCTCCTTCCTTCGGGGCCTGCTGCCTCTGCAGGAGGCCCCTGAACCTAACCTGGGTCAGAGGGGCAGTGGGGTCTGGGCAGACACCCAGCTGTCCTCCCGGGGGCCATTTGCTTCTGGACCTTTCAGTTTGGGGGCCCCGAAGACAATGATCCCTCTTTGGGAGCTCTTGGTGGTGGGGCCAGGTAGACTGAGGGCTTAGGAAAGGCTTCATCCAGTCGCCCTTCCCACCTGCAGGTTTGAGAAAATGATCGGGGGCCTTTACCTGGGCGAGCTGGTGCGGCTGGTGCTGGTGCACTTGGCCCGGCGTGGGGTCCTCTTTGGCGGCTGCACCTCCCCTGCCCTGCTGAGCCAAGGCAGCGTCCTCCTAGAGCATGTGGCTGAGATGGAGGAGTGAGTGGGGGAGCAGTGGCTGAGACAAGGGGGTTCTTGGCTTGGGGAGAGGGGAGGACACTGTCCCCACGGTAGCTCTGGGGCTTTCATGGGATGGGGAGCTTCTGGACTCCCTGAGCCCCAACTAGCAACCTGTCCCTCTCAGCCCCTCTGCTGGAGTAGCCCGTGTCCACGCTGTCCTGCAGGACCTGGGCCTGAGCCCAGACACCTCGGACGCTGAGCTTGTGCAGCACGTGTGTGCGGCCGTGTGCACACGGGCTGCCCAGCTCTGTGCTGCTGCCCTGGCCTCTGTCCTCTGCCGCCTGCAGCGCAGCCGGGAGCATCAAGCACTTCAGGTTGCTGTGGCCACCGGAGGCCGAGTGTTTGAGCAGCATCCCAGGTATTGTGGGAAGACGATCCTGTGTGAGCAGGTAGCATGAACGTGTGTGTGTGTGTGTGACACACACCCAGAGGCACTCTGGGATCTTGTGTGCCGGCCAGTGGATATGTATGTCACTTGAGCCAGCCTGAGCTATGGGAGGCCAGAAGATGTCCAAGGAGATGCTTCTCTCTGAGTGCACGAGGGTGGGGGTCACTGGGCGCACGGGGCGCATGGCCGGTGCACAGAATGGATTTAGAATGGTGCTGACGAAGTGGTGGCCCCCAGGGCTCCAGCAGGCCCTGGGGGTCAGGGCCAAACCGGGGTGTCTGGTGTGTGTTGTGCAGGTTCTGCAGCACTCTGCGCGAGACGGTGATGCTCCTGGCCCCAGAATGTGATGTCTCCTTCATCCCGTCTGTGGACGGGGGTGGCCGGGGTGTGGCAATGGTGACTGCAGTGGCTGCCCGCCTGGCCAGCCACAGGCACCTGCTGGAGGAGACCCTGGCACCGTTCCGGCTGAACCACGAGCAGCTGGCAGCGGTGCAGGCACAGATGCGGGCGGCCATGGCCAAGGGGCTCCGTGGGGAGGCCTCCTCTCTCCGCATGCTGCCCACTTACGTCCGGGCCACGCCCAATGGCAGTGGTAAGGACCTGTTCTGCGTGTGGGACTGGGGCCTGGGCTCCTCAGCGTCATAGTGTGTGCTGGAGCTAGAGCCACAAGCCCTGTCCTGGCACTGAGGATCTCTGCTCCACAGAGCGAGGGGACTTCCTGGCCCTGGACCTTGGGGGCACCAACTTCCGGGTCCTCCTGGTGCGTGTGGCCGCAGGAGGTGTGCAGATCACCAGCCAGGTGTACTCCATCCCCGAGTGTGTGGCCCAGGGCTCTGGGCAGCAGGTACCCACAGCCTGAGCCCTGATGACCGAGGTGGTGAAGGGCCGGGGCTGGGCGCACCCCTGACTGTCCCTGCCCCGCAGCTCTTTGACCACATCGTCGGCTGCATTGTGGACTTCCAGCAGAAGCAGGGCCTGAGCGGGCAGAGCTTCCCCCTGGGTTTCACCTTCTCCTTCCCATGCAGGCAGCTTGGCCTGGACCAGGTGAGGGCGCGGGGCCTAGAGAAGTGATCCCCAAGGGCCTCCCACCCACGTATCCTTCATGGAGCGGGCAGGAGCCTAGGGAAAGGGCTGGGTGGCGGCGGGGTGGGGGCAGCATTGCCGGGCTGGGCCTGCACCCAGCCTCAGTTTCCCTATAAATGATGTGCCCAGGCTTAGGGTCTGGGGCATTTGGGAGCAGTGCAAACCTAGATTGGGGCTGACCAGAGGACACACGGTCTATTGCAGTCAGAGCACTGGTGTACTGGCCTGGGGTCCTGCGGGCAGCAGCATTTGTTCCTGTCTAGAACGGGCTTGAGGTTGCACAGGGGCTTTTGCCCTCTCTCCGTTTCCTCTCCTGGCTTGTTTCCTTCTCACTGCCTGATTGGGGTGGCCGAGTGCCGAGCTCAGGTCCAGACACAGAATCCCTACGTGGCACGCCCCTCGGTGTGTCCTTAAGCAAGTGCAGTAGACTTCTCGATGCACACACCTGAAGCTCGTGTTGGAAACAGCACTCTGGGGCCGCTGGTCCAAACTCCCAGGAATCTCCTTCTCAACATCCCTGACTTCTGCTTAAAAGCCTCTTGTGCTGAGAAGCTCGCTGCCTCTGAAGGCGTCCTCTGCATTCTAGACACCTGTGATCATTGAAAAGCTTCGCCTCATCTACTCCAGCCGCTACTTTGTGTGGTTTCCAGCCTCTGCTCCAGCGCTGACCTCCCTCTCACTCGGGGCTCTCTCCTCTGCTTTCTTTCACACGATGGCCCTTTGCATTGTGCCACGGGCCGTGGTCTCTGCTGCTCGGCTCCAGGCTAAGCACACTCGTTCCTGTTGACTATTCCTTGTGAAGTGTGGGAAGCAGGTGTGACCGTGCCAATCTAGACGTACAAGAAACATGGGTCTTATTAATTTTGTGTAACTGAACTTGATTTCTGTGTTGAGCCCACATTCTTTCCAGGGGCAAAAACTTAATGTGAGGACACCCTTCGCCAGGTAGGGGCCCCTCTTGGCTCCGTGGCATCATTTGCTGTACGGAACGTGCAGACACGTGGGAGCTCGGGGAGATGCCCCGGCCCCCGCGGTTCTCCAGGAACCACCCCCTGCCATCCCCTCTCGAGTCTTGACGCCTCCCCGGCGTCACCTGGGGAAGGAGGGCAGAGGCCGCCTCTGTTCTCAGATCACTCAGATTCTTCCACCGCCACTGCCAACCGCCCCACTCCCAGGGGTGAGCCCAGGGTGGAGGGCACAGAGCACCTTCCTCAGGAAGCCACCAGACAGCTGGATCTGACTCCCCGCCGGCCCCCTCCCCGGACCCGGGAGTGCCTGTCCTGTCTGGGAGCAGGGAAGCTTGCTCATTGTCTGGTCCCTCCGAGTGGCTCTTCCCCTCCTTTCCCCTCTCACATTCTTTCGTTTCTGTTTTTGAGACAATGAGCCTACAACAATGGGGAAAGGCATAGCGGGAACTACTACTGGGGGAAAACACTGGTTACTATTCTAGAATCTTTTGCCCCGAGGACTCCAGGGCTGCCCTCCACGCTCTACTCTGGGCAGAGCGATCGTTTTCTCCTAACAGCCACAGGACAGCCCCTGCTTCCTGCCCTCGCTCGGAGGACGCACACTAAGAAAACAGCCACCCTCAGGCACAGTCAAGCCCCTTGTCGCTGAGCGCGCAATCTAGGTCCGTTTCCTCCCAGCGACGGCGGTCTGTCGGGCCCCTCCCATCCTGCCCAGGTGTCCGCGTTCTGGCTTCTCCGCTCGCCCCTCACCTGTGCCTGGAACACACATGTGACTCTCCCGTTGATACAGCTCTGTCCCTTCCTCTCCAGCAACTCTTGTGAGTTCTTTCTGAAGGGGAAAGGGCGGGATCTGCTGTCCTTGGGCTGCTGGGCCTTCTCTGTCCTCCCCCTTCCTACCCACAACACTTACTGTGCCAGCTCTGTCCACTCCTGACCCGATGACACAGGACCATTCCTTCTGGGCAAGCACCTTGCAGTGGCCAGAGCCTCAGACCATGGGGCATTCTGGAACTAATGGCAGAAGACATAGGTTAGATGGTTATTAACAGGCTTCTGTGCACCGAGAGCCTACTGGGGAGTGAGGGGGGGCAGAGGGCAAAGCCTTCAGCTCTGTGGCAAGCGGGCTGCCTGTGGAGCATGGAAATCATACGTTCTGAGGGTGCAGGCTTTGGGGAGGCAGAGTGAGACTTGAGGGGGGCCTCTGGCGTCCTGTTCCTTGGTCCCACCCCAGGGCATCCTCCTGAACTGGACCAAGGGTTTCAATGCATCAGACTGCGAGGGCCAAGATGTTGTGTGTCTGCTGCGGGCAGCCATCAGGCGAAGACAGGTAGGTGCCTGCCCCAGGGGTGCTTTGGGGCTGCGCAGGCCTTGAGGGGAGCAAAGGGTCTCCTGCTGCCTTGCAGGGGGGCCCTCTGCAGTAGAGACCTCTGGGTCCAGGGCTGGTTGCTGTGACAACTGTGTTGCCCAGCAACTAGCAGCATCCTTTTGTGTGCAGGCAGTGGAGCTGAATGTGGTTGCCATTGTCAATGACACGGTGGGAACCATGATGTCCTGCGGCTATGACGACCCCCGTTGTGAGATAGGCCTCATTGTCGGTGAGGAGGGCCCTGCCCTTTCGTGCCCCTACTGCTTGACAATTCACTGCCTCCTGTTGATTCCTCAGGTCGGATGGCTCCTTGGCCTTGGCGAGGTGGGATCATTCCTGTCTGTCCCAGTGGGCTCTGGAACATTCTCTTGGGCTGGTAGTCTGGAGCTTAGGTGTTTAGTTCAGCTCAGCTACTGACTCATGGTCATTTAAGCTCTCTGAGCCTCAGTTTGCCCATCTAGCAAATGAGCCTGAGCTTTGGAGTCACACAGATTTGGGTGGAAATTCTAGCTTTGCACTTTCACCTATATGACCTTGGGCAAGTCACCAGAGCCTCAGTTTCCTCATCTCAAAGGTGGAGCTAATGACAATCCCTGTCTCAGGGTCGTGAGGATGGATGGAGGGGGCAGAGTGTGGCACGTGCAGTGTTTGGAACTGGTGGGAGCTGGGAACCAATGGGCTATGAGGGGCCTTCAGATAGGCCAAGATTCTAAGTCTTTATTAAGCACCCACCCTGTGGCCAGAAGGGGCCGGGAAAAGGGACAGGAAGACACTTAAAGGCAGAGGAGATCGCTGCCTTCTCAGAACTGACCACAGAGCGAGGGCGAGGCCCAGAACAGCAGGGGCAGTCAGAGAGCTGACTTCACTGCGCCCGGTCGCAGCAGGGCCAAGATCAGAGCGGAGCCGTCCCGGGATGAGTGGAGTTGAAAAGAAAGCCCTGAAAGGAAGGATGTGGCTCCGTCGGGCAGAGGGAGCCTGCAGCTCCTTGGGCATTGGTATCTTTTAGCACCAGGCTGTGGCAGCCTCTCCGACACAGGGAGCTCTTGATCACACGGTGCTTGGCATGGTTAGGACTCGGGAGAGGTTGCCATGTGAATGAACAACCGGACGGAGGAATCCCAGGTGGGGCCGGCAAGGAGCCCGCTCGCCTAGAGCTGAAACTGTGTTGGGGAGAGGAGGGAGGTGTCTTTACCCAGGCTGTGCCCTCTGCCTGGAAAGCCTTTTCCGTTCTGTGCTTCTTGGCTTCAAAACCCAACTCAAATGTCTCTTCCTCACTCTAGCTCTTCCTGACCCTGCAGGCAGGAAGACTCACCTGTGTTCTGGGGCTCCCTCGATGCCCTCCTTTGTGCTCCTGGGCACAGAGGCATTGGCAGAGTTGGCTGTTCATTGGCCATCTTCTGGCCAGGCTGTGGGCTCCTTGTGTCTGATTTCTCTCTCTGTTCCCACAGAGACGTGGTGTTGGCAGGAAAGTAGGGGAGGCCTCCAGGGCTTGGTGCCGGCAGGGTCCGCACAAGGGATGTCAGGAGGGAAAGAGGGCCAGGACCAGGGTCAGGTTGTGAGCTAGGGAGATGGAGAGGTGGGGAATGAGCCCAGCTTTTACCATCTTGGTGTGGGGCCTTGTCTGCATCAAAACGGCACCTCCTCCATCTGGCCTGTCTGCAGGAACCGGCACCAACGCCTGCTACATGGAGGAGCTCCGGAATGTGGCAGGTGTGGCCGGAGACTCGGGCCACATGTGCATCAACATGGAGTGGGGTGCCTTTGGGGATGACGGCTCACTGGACATGCTCAGCACCTGCTTCGACGCAAGGGTGGACCGGGCGTCCATCAATCCCGGCAAGCAGAGGTGTGGGCTGGGCCCAGGCGGTGGTGGCTGGCAGTGGCTGGCGCTGGTGACGGCAGCCGGTAGGGTCTCCTGCCCTGTGCACACACACGCGTTCATGCAGGTTTGAGAAGATGATCAGCGGCATGTACCTGGGGGAGATTGTCCGTCACATCCTCTTACATCTAACCAGCCTCGGCGTTCTCTTCCGGGGCCAGCAGATCCAGTCCCTTCAGACCAGGGACATCTTTAAGACCAAATTCCTCTCTGAGATTGAAAGGTGCCTGAGGCCTACATTGCCTTCCCACCTTCAGAGTCTATCTGTCCACCGCGCGGGGAGTTGCTGGGTGGCGGTGTGGGGGGCTCTCCTCTGGGGGACGATGTGGGAGAAGTCGTGAGAGTGGGGGAGCTGATGCGGGACCCTGCCTCTCTGCACTCTATTCCTTCCTGGCCCCAGTGACAGCCTGGCCCTGCGGCAGGTCCGAGCTATCCTGGAGGATCTAGGCCTGCCCCTGACCTCGGATGATGCCCTGGTGGTCCTAGAGGTGTGCCAGGCTGTGTCCCAGCGGGCCGCCCAGCTCTGTGGCGCAGGCGTGGCTGCTGTGGCAGAGAAGATGCGGGAGAACCGGGGCCTGGAAGAGCTGAGGGTGTCCGTGGGGGTGGACGGGACCCTCTATAAGCTGCATCCCCAGTGAGTCCGGGTGCACGAGCTGGGGAGGGAGGGGAGGCCAGATGGGGTCCGGCTGGCCTTGGCTCACCCCGGCCCTCCCCACGCAGCTTCTCCAGCCTGGTGGCCGCCACAGTACGGAAGCTGGCCCCTCGCTGTGTGGTCACCTTCCTGCAGTCAGAGGATGGGTCCGGCAAAGGTGCAGCCCTGGTCACGGCCGTTGCCTGCCGCCTTGCCCAGAAGACCCGCGTCTGAGGAAGTCTCCACGGAGACTCCAGGCCTCGGAGTTCTCAGCCCCAGCCTCGCTGGAGCAGGGCATGGGCCCAGCCATCCCGTCACCCAGGACTCCCAGCATGGCCCACGCGTGAGCACTCTGTGGCCATCTGGCCTTGCCCCCTGGCTTTCCCCGAAAAAAGTAGCACTCAGGTTAGCAATATATATATAATTTATTTACATTCACGTCCGATAAAATCCCTACGCGCCCCGACGGCCGGGCAAGGCTGTGTACATAAGGCCAAGTGTAAGTGCGTGAATGCACTTAAGACAGAGTCAGGACACGAGCTTCACACGACAGGCCCCGCACGGGGGCACCAGCCAGCCCCAGGGACAGGCATGCCACGGCACACACACTCGCCACTGTACAGCCCGGGACTCCCGTTGCATATTCACACGCCCCGCCGCGCAGGGCACCTCGAGGCTGGGGGAGGGGGAGGGGCAGGAAGGCGCCGTCGGGCGTCCCTGGGTGGGTGGGAGGGGGCAGCATGTGAGCGGCAGATGTGCACCGACACCGGGCGTGAGGCGTGGGCAGCCTCCAGATGTGCAGCATGAGATGCGCGTGGTGGTGGGGGGTGTCCTCATGACCGGACGGGGGATGGGTGTGAGATGAGCACACGAGGCACGCGTGGGCACGTGCTCGTGTGGTGGTCACGGGCCCGAATCCAGGGGCCGCCCCCTGTCCGGCTGTGGCCCTTGGCCCTGTAGGCTTGGAGCCGGCCCCTCAGACGTGCCCCTACCCAGCAGGCACAGAAATGTTTGCATAGGGCCCAGCCCAGGCAGGAGCTCTGGGGCCACGTCTCGAAACCAGTGTGCGCGTGCGTGCCCGTGCATACGCGGGCCCCGGGGAGGGGCAGGAGGAGAGGTAGCATCACACACACATACACACACACGGATGGGCTGGGCCTGGCCCAGGCTCCGGCACTGTCCACCCTGGGCCCTGGAGCAGAGTGTGAGCAGGTGGCAGTGCCAGCCTGGCCAGGCAGGCCATGGAGGGGTGGGAGTTCGGGCAGGGTCTGAAGGACCAGCGTTAAGGGACAACTTCGGCTGGAGGGGGCCTGTCCAAGCAGCTCTCCCCGGTTTGGAGGAAGGGCCCCGGTCTGGCTTCTGCCTGTCCCTGGCGGGTGCCAAAGCTGGTGAGAGTGTAGGCGTTCGGCCTGGCCGGCCTCAGCACTCGGCCTCTGACACTGTGAAGAGGCCAGCATCTGGCTGGCCCAGTCCGGCCACAGCCGCCGCCAGCTGGCTGAGGTTGCCGTTGGGGAAGTGCCGAGCCTCCCACAGGTTGAGGATCATAGCCGTGGGGCTGGGCTTGGAGGCAAAGAAGCTGAGATGGCTGAGGAGGGGAGGGGAGTCTGTTAGCAGGCTGGCCTCACCCCAGCTGCCGCCTCCTGCCCCCAAGCCACCCCAGGGCAGAGTCTCCCCCAAGCCGGACACACTGACAGCCTCGGCTGCTAGTGGACGAGGCACAGGCCCCAGAGGGCCTCCTGTCCACCCTACCCCCCACCAGCCCAGGACTGTAGGTGGCTTTCGCACCACTTTGCCCATCTCCCACCCACCTGTCCAGGTGGAGTTTCTGGGCCAGAGTCCGCCAGTCGGCAGCCCGGCTACAGGGTGGGTCCAGGCTGGAAATGATCTTCTGCCGAATGAGGAAGGGGATCTTGAAGGCACTGGGGCCCACCAGGGCTGGGACCCCCCCTTCACTCTCCAGAGCCAGCAGCTCAGCAAACCTCGTGTCCTGGGGTGCGAGGGGTGGAGGTGAGAGTTAGAACTTTCCCTGGGCCCGGACGCACTGCCACTTCCCGCTAGGGGAGCTCCCAGACCACCCCAGGGCATGGGGGAGGCATGGGCACTGGCACTTCCTGGGCATCCCCCACGTGCCAAGGCCCTGCTCACTGGGGCCCAGCGGTGTAGCAACCTGCCCACAGTGACACAGCCAGTGAGAGAGGAGCCCTCTGGCCTCGGTCCTCTCTCTCCCACCCCCAAGTCACTCTGCTCAGCCTCTGCCAAGCGCTCAGAACTCCCACTCTGCTCTCACGGCCTTCATCCTCCCTGCGCAGTTCCCGCTGCCAGAAATGCCCTTCCCCTCACTGCTGCCTGCCGAACATGCTCATCCTTGGGGCCCAGGACAAAGTCCCTCCTCAGGGAAGCCCTCCAGGGTCCCCCCAGCCAGCTTGGTGTCCCCTCCTGCTGCTCCCACATACTCTTCCCTTCCCCACGTCCTCCCTGGGAGACTGGGGGGAAGCTGCCAAAGGGTTTCTGAGAGCAGGTGGGCTTGGGGACGGGTGGGGACATTTCTGAGGGTTGGTGGAGGGAGCACATGGCGGCAGTGCTGTAGCCCCTGCCACCCACCTTGGTGATGTTGAAGTTGATGTTGAAGCTCTGCCCATCACCTTCCACCTGCCACACCCACATCTTGCAGGCCAGGTCGCTGGTGCCGGCGCTGGCGCGCTCCAGGGCGAAGGTGCAATGCAGGTACTGCTGCGTCCCGCTCCAGATGTGGTAGAAGGGGATCTCCTGGGGGTGGAGAGGAGGCATCAGCTGTGCCCAGCTCCTGCCCCTGCAACACTGGCCGTGGGCCTGGCCCTCACCTGGTAGCTGGCGAGGAGCTTGCTCTTCCACAGGGAGCTGGGCATGTCGTGGATGGACAGGCGCAGGTTGTGGTAGCTGTCCTTGAAGTGCAGGACTCTCGGCTCCTGGATCAGCTGTCCCCCCAGCTGCTTCTCCAGCTGTACCACCTCCTGCAGTGCGCCAGGGGGTCAGCTGGGACCCTCTCCACCGCCCCCGGCAGGAGGGCCTCCACCAAGGCCAGGCTGTCGGCCCAGAGGGCCAGGCGCAGCCTCCCGTGTCGGGCGTGAGGGGCGGGCGGTACCTTGAGTGCATCGCGCGTGTCATGCAGGCAGTAGACGCGGATGTTGTACTCGAGGGAGGTGCAGGCCAGGGGGGCGAACAGAAGCAGCCTGAGGCGCTTGGCTGCGGCCACACTGAGGGCCTCTCCCACCAGGGCGAAGCGGCCCAGCTGCTCGGTGAGGACGTAGCAGGCGCCGGCCTCCAGCTGGCAGTAGTAGAGGTGGGAGGGCGCCTCCTCGCCCAGGTGCAGCACGTCCTGCGGGCGGGCCCAGGGGGTTGGCTTTGCCCAGCCTCGGAGCCCTCGGGCCACCGCAGCTCTGAGAAGTGGCCAGAGACTGGGCAGGGGTCGGTGTGGCTCGGCCCACAGTCCCCTCTGAAGCTGGGGCTTGAGGGCTCTCCCTGCTCACCTCCCAGCTGCCTTCGCAGGACTGCTTTTTGAGGCGCAGGCTCCAGCTGTCGGGGCCGGGCTCCCCGCAGTGGTCCATGGCGAGGATGACAGGCCGCGTGAGCAGGACTCCGGGGGGCCCGCAGCTAACGATGGGACTCAGCAGGGTCTGACAGCCAGCTAGGGGCAACCTCAAGTGGGGAAATGTGGGTGGGGAGGGAAAGGCATCAGTGGCGTCCTGGGAACCAAGGCTGGGCCGGGCAGAGGGCAGGGAGGGGGCTGCACGGCCAGGTGGAGTTTAGGCGCAACTCTCCCCCGCCAGCCCAGACCAGGCGCAAGCGTGGGGGGACAGAGGGAGGGCACCCGGTGAGTGAGGACAGGAAGCAGGCCCCTCCCAGCCCCAGCAGCAGGGCCCGCACGCACACCTCACGTCCTCTGGCTTGTGCAGCGTGAGGTAGATCTCGTAGATCTTCCCTCGGGGTATGGCGTCCGGGGGGATTAGGAGGCTGATTCCTGTAACAGAGCAGGAGGGCAGGGGCTTGCTTGCCTGCTGCAAAGGCACCGACGCGCCACCAGCCAGCCCCTTCACAAGCCTCCCTGTGAGGACTGACTGGTGCCAGCCTGGCCTGGGGACAGAGGTGACGTAAGGACAGCCATGCTGCCCAGCCACCCTCACAAGCATGACACTGAGTCAGGGTGACCCCAAGAGCAGCTGAGGAAACCCAGGTGGGAAAGGCATGCCTAGTCAGACCAGACAGAAAACTCTGGAACAGAAGGTGTCAGGATGCAGTACCTACCTCCCCTGTCATCTGATAGACACTGGGTGGGACCAGGGCATTTCCTGCTTAAAACCTTCCCTGCCTCCAGGCTAAAGTCCACCTCCCTGGCCTGACTCTCAGGGTCCTTGGTCTCTCTCTGCCCAGCCTGCGCAACATACTCAGCGGCTCTGGAACCACGGCCTGAGCTCCACTGCTGTCCTGTCCTGCTCAAGCTCCTCCCCTCTCCATTAGCCCTGGCCACCTCTGGGAACTGGCCACTCCTTACCACTGTCACTGTGCCTGCAGGTGGTGCTGGGTCTTGAATAACCATGTGGCTTTGCAGCCCTCCTTGGCCAGGAAGCCACTGCACAGATGCCCTCCTGACTGGCTCATTTGCTTCTGCCCCAGAGTCTTGCAGGAGCAGGATGTGTCTGCTGAGAGCGGAGTGGGTGGGGTGGGGATGGGGAGGTGGTAGGGTAGGCCATGGCAAGGACAGGGGCTGGGGAGTCACACTAGGGGTGGTGAGCAGTGGCCTTGCCCCCAGACAGGGAGCCCTTACATCAGACGACCTCTCAGCCCAGGACAGGGGGAATGGACAAATGCCATGACTTCATCCCCCCAAGCCCTAGAGCAAATGTGTGTTCTCCAGAGTGGGCAACTGAGGGGGCTGGGCTGGAGCATCACTACCTCACAGGAAACTCAAGCCCAGGAGAGGGAAGCTGCCAATCGCATATTTACAGCTGCTGCTCCCTTCACCAGCCCGCACTGCCCCTTGGTATGGGCTGCCAGTGTTGGTGACAATCCCAGACATCCTCACGTGAATGCTTTCCACGAGGGCGGTACATGCACTCCCGTGCTCATTCCATGGATAATGCCGGCCCTCAGGAGGGCGGGAGGAAAGGACCAACCCGCTCTCATGAAGCTCCAGGCGCAGAGTGGGGAAGGACAAGTAAATCGCAGTAAAGGGTGAGGGAGAAGAGGTAGCCCACCCACCCTGCCCAGGCCGTGAAGGGCTGAGGGCCACTGGACACCACTGTTTGCCTGCCTCTTTGTAATAGCTGACAGACGCTGTCATCCTAATAGCCCCGCGAGGGGCCATCACCATCCCATGTACAAGGGACATGAGGTGTAGAGAGCAAGAGCTGTCGG